GTCTTTGGGGCAACCCACTCATTCCCTCCCAGCCTGTATATAACTCGCCATTTTTCCTCAATAAATGGAAGAGGGAAGACTTGATCAGCACCTCGTATTGTGTGTGTGTATGTTTTTCCCATCTCTCACTCCCTCCCCCAGGGAACCTGTTGGACTGTCCTGCTGGTCGGGACAGAGAGTCAGAGAGAGGGAAAATGAAACTTGTATTTTTTTTTTCAATCATAAAAACTTTCTCTTTAATCAAGTCTTTGAACATGGAACAGAATTTTTGAATAAAACAAAAAGTTTCCAATACATTGAAATATAAACCCACAAGTCACCATACATAAAACACCCAACAGAAAAAAAACTAAATGAAGTTTACACGATCCCTCGAACAGCCATGGTCTTAGTCTCAGAAGCTTCCTCCATCCATCAAACATGTTCTTCTGGAGACAGATGGCACCATGGCTCCTGGGGTCACACTTGGTGACCCATAGAGTACTCATCTGGCTGGGCTGCTGTGGTTTGGGCTCTACTAAAGATGCAAAGCACATTCAAACAGTATATTGGATATCCTTTAATATCAAAGTGAGAAACAGGAAGGCAACATAATCAGGTTATTAGAAAGATGTTAGAAAGTAAGGACAGTTGTGTAGAGCTGGACACTGAAAAGTGGCTTGTAAGCTTCATTTCTTTGGCTTCTTGGGTAGTGGCCTCCAGAACAGCAAGATATGAGGTTCTGGTTCAAGAATCATATAATGGGGGACCAGCAGTTAGCATAATGGCTATGTCGCTGGACTCTCATGTAGTCGACTGTGGTTTGCGTCCCAGACCCGGTGGCTTAAAACTCATGCCGGGCGCGAGTGCGTGCGTGCCCAAGATCCCAAGAGGAGAACGGAGGAGAAGGGATTGCAGCATAGCCAGCCCCCTGGGGGGGGGGGTGATTTCTCGCTTTCTGTCTCTCTGTCTCTCTCTGTATGTCTGGTGAACGCACGTGCCCTATCGCAAAAACCTCTCCCCCCAAAAAAGAATCATATAATGGACCCATCCCTGACTGCTGAAAGCCAAGATTCCTCCATTCATATTCAAACATCAAATGGGTTTTAGGAACCAGCTTGGCTACATCCTTGGGCAACATGACATGCCAGTACTCGAACATCATCGTATTTGTCCTAATAGTAAATTTGTTTGTGTGACCTGATGGCTTTACTTACAGGTCTCCAGCCTGACTCTGCCAACCTCCAAACAACTCCCAGCAGCACCGAAACTTGCATTTTTAGTAAGAAGTCTAAATTATTATAATGTAAAGAAATGACACTATGGTTTGAATGTTCCCTCCAAAATTTATTTCCAAGGTAGGATGGCCATGCTGCAATCCCATCTCCATTCTTCTCCTGGTATTTGGGGTACAGATGCACACATGCCCAGTGTAATTTTCAAGTCACCCAGTCCAGGACTCCAGCCCTGGTCAGTCATGTGGGAGTCCAGCACCTTAACCAGCATATCACCTGCTGGCCCATATACTATACTTTATAGCATTATTTTAGAGTGTACTCCTTCTACTTATTAAAAAAAAAAAAAGCATACCATAAATCAGTATGCCTTGTTATACCAGCAGCAGCCTCAGACATCTTATATTTACCACATCTCTTGATTACATATTTTCTCTTATGCTTGATTCAATCTTGTGTCATTTTGTTCATCATGACCCTTCCAGTGGAATAAGATGTGGTGGCAGAAGACAGTGATATTAATGATTGTAACTATGTTAGGTCTAGGCTCATGTGTATTTGTGTCTTAGTTTTAACAAAAGAAAGGTTAAATACTACTACTACAAATTTTTTAAATAATGAAAAGATTATAGAAAAGAATATAAAGAAAGAACTGTTTTTACAGCTCTACAACATGTTTGTGCTTTAGGTCAAGCGTTAACACAAAAGAAAAATTTTTTAAAAATTATTTATCTAATTTATTTATTCATTCATTTTTAAAAATTTGATGAGAGAGAGAGAGAGAGAAAGTGAGAAAGCAAGCCACTGGGTTGGGGAATTGAACCATGGTTGGCCAAGTGAGAGTGTCCAGCACCTTAACCACCATACCACCTACAATACCAAAAAGAAAAAAAAATTATAAATAAAATTTATAAAGTACAAAGTTACAGTAATCTCAGGTTAATTTATTATTGAAGATTTTTAAAATAAATCAAGTATAGCCTAAGTGTATAGTGTTTAAAAATTCTACAATAGTGTACAGCAATGTCCTAGAACTTCACATTGACTCACCACTCATCCAGAGCAACTTCCAGTTCTACAAATTTCATTCATGGGTAATGCCCTATACAGAAGTATCATTTAAAAATTTTTTTAAATGTAATTAATTTATTTAATTTGACAGAGAAACAGAGTGAGAGAGAGAGGGACAGTGAGAAAGCAAGCCTCCAGGTCCGGTTCTCGAACCAAGGTCAGCCATGTGGGAGTCCAGCGCCCTTAACCACCATACCATCTGCAAGCCCGCATGAGTAGCTTTTTAATCTTTTACTATGTTTTTATTGTACTTTTTCTATGTTTAAGTGTGTTTAGATGCACAAATACTTTTACCAATGAATTACAATTGCCTTTGGCATTCAGTACAGTAATATGCTGTATAGGTTTATAGCCTAGAAGCAGTGTGTTATATCATATAGCCAAGGTATGGTAGGCTACAACATCTAAGTTTGTGCAAGTATATTCTATGATGCTTGCAAAATGATGAAATCATAGCCCTATCATTAAGCAATACATAACTGTATACAGAAATAAGCTTTGTGGGAACCAGCAGTTAGTGTAATGGCTATGTTGCTGGACTCCCATGTAGTTGACCGCAGTTTGCATCCCGGACCCAGTGGCTTAAAACTCACGCCAGGCGCGTGTGCATGCATGCCCAAGATCCCAAGAGGAGAATAGAGGAGAAGGGATTGCAGCATGACCATCCCCCCTGGGGGGTGATTTCTCGCTTTCTGTCTCTACGTCTCTCTGTCTGTCTGGTGAGTGCATGCGCCCTATAGCGAAAACCTCTCCAAAAAAAAAAAAAAGAAATAAGCTTTGTAAGATGAATCTACATAGAGAGGACTTCAAATAGTTTGTGGAAAAATAGAATTAAAGTACAAGTTTTTTAGTGCAAACAATTTTTGAAATCCATGCATAATTTTTTCATATTATTCATTTTCCATGAACTTTTTGAAGACTCCACATATAGCTATATATATTAGTCTTAAGATTTATAAAAATATACATATTAGTCTTACAGAACGCACACATACATGTATATGTGTGTGTATATGTATCTACATATTTTTGTATGTGTGTGTTTAATCTTACAAAGTATTTTTACATATATTTCAGAGGAGCAGGGACTGTTCCTTAGATTTGTTCCCTACATCACTTTGTATAATTGACACATGCTCCAAGAGACTTCTGAACCAGTAAGGCAGGCCTGCCAGGAGCCTTCAGGGAGAGATCATCTCATGAGGACAAAACCTTATTCTTTAGACTTAGAGCTTAACTCTGACTACGGCGTAGTGTCTTTCACTCAAACTCGTACCCTGGTCCAACTCCCAGAAGGACTCATCACGTGTAACTCCCATGGAGAGGACGGGTGGGACCTGTGATGGAAAACAGAAGGGGCTGTTCTGCTAAGGACTGTGCAAAACTGTGCCCCAGGTAACCTCAGAGCAGTCCCACCTGTTTTCAGAGTCACTAGAAAGCAGAGGCTTTAGAAGACAGTGGGAGCCCAAACCACTGGGACTGCTGGAAACTCAGTGAGGTCTTGGCATTCAAGAACCACACTACACCAGCAGCACTGGGCGCCAGCAGACAGCAAAGGACCCACAAAAGGGATAGCAGTGCCCAGCAGGCAGGGCAGGGGAGGAGATGCCTGGCTGGAAGCCCCCACCCCTGCCTACTGGACTTGATCCTGAGCGCAGGGTGAGTGACATCAGGCCCTCCCCTAATCATGAATGGCTCTACAGTGGGTTGCGGTTTTGTGCACAGGTGGAAACAGGATCCCACAATACACACCTCAGAGTTACTTCCTCATTTCTTCCCCATGGCAGCCCTGAGAGAAAATGTTTTCCCCTTGAAAAGACTGAGACTTAAATATGTGACAGTTTTATCCTTGCGGCTAAGAGAGTCAGAGGTAATTTGAAGTTTAACATTTCTTTTTTATACTTTTGTTATTAAGTGTTTCACTGCTTTACAAAGATGATTGACAGTTCTTCTGTGTCTATTTTACAGCTTTTCTTTTGTGATGCAGGTAACATACACATATACACATAAATTCATTTTTTAGAAAATGAGAAGATGCAGATAGGCAAAAAAGATATTGTATACAGATCACACAGCAATTCACTGTTAACCTTCAGTATATTATAATTCAGACTTTTTCTTTTGCATATGTCATAATACATATATACTGTTTTGCAATGTGTGTTTTCATTTTAAAAAATATAATGAGCATCTTCCCATGCAAATAAGACAGATCCTTTATTTATTTATTTATTTATTTATTTATTTATTTATTTTGGAGAGGTTTTTGCTATAGGGCACTTGCACTCCCAGAAAGACAGAGAGAGACATAGAGACAGAAAGCGAGAAATCATCCCCCAGGGGGGATGGTCACACCGCAATCCCTTCTCTTCCGTTCTCCTCTCGGGATCTTGGACACACACGCACATGTACCTGGCGTGAGTTTAAGCCACCAAGTCCAGGACGCGAACCGCGGTTGATTACATGGGAGTCCAGCGACATAGCCATTACGCTAACTGCTGGTCCCGAGACAGAGCCCTTATTTAATAAATGAAATTGAGTCAAAAGATGAGATATGGATAAGAATTATATGTGAGTATAGGCAACACTGAAGGATTGGAGTAAAATGACAGCAAATATTCAGCAAGAAAATGCAGACACAAAGAAAGCAGTGGCAATATTAATAACAAAATAATTGCAATTGGGGGAAATGCATTAAATGGGATAAGGACGGTCCTAAGAATGTCTATGGTTAGAATGCAGAGCCCTCAATTTCTTTTTTAGACCTTTTATCTCTTCCAAATACTTTTTCATCTCATCTCCCTCTCTTGTCATTTCTTCATGCTTAAAATGTCTATAGTCTATGTCCTCTTTAAATTGTTCAGGAGACTGAAGCAGCCTTTGTTTGAAATTCCCTTCTGTTTGCTGGGGTTCAAATTCTCCACAGGAGAGTTCTTCCTCCCTCCATTGCATGCTGCACTTGGGCTTTCCTCCATGTGCTTTGCATGTTTTTTGCATGATGTCGTTTCCTGTTTAACTTCAGAGAGAGAATGTACAGACCAATTGCTTCATTCCTTTTGAATCAGAATTGTCAGGGTTTTTTTTTTTTTTTTTAGAGGTTTTTGCTATAGGGCGCGTGCGCTCGCCAGACAGACAGAGAGAGACAGAGAGACAGAGAGACAGGAAGTGAGAAATCACCTCCCAGGGGCGATGGCCACACCGCAATCCCTTCTCCATTCTCCTCTTGGGATCTTGGGCACGCACGCACACACACCCGGCATGAGTTTTAAGCCACCCGGTCCAGGACGCGAACCGTGGTCTACTACGTGGGAGTCCAGCGACGTCAGGGTTTATTTTTTTTGAGGTGAGATACTCACCTAATCTCCCACCCCGCCCCACAGGTCAGGCCCTTAGAAGTTCGAGATGCTCCTTCCCCTCTCTTTTCTGTGCCTCTTTCCCCTTCTCCTCCTCTGACACCCATTTTCCCAGTGGAGAAATGGAGCCTAAGCAGAGGCAAACTGCTGACTGAGCCACAGATATTATCCAGCTTCCACCCTTTCTGATTCCCACCCTCTGAAATGTCGGTCTAAGTTCCTTGCTCACACCCACCTATGCCAAAGGGGATATTTTCCTTCTCTTTCTCTTGTCCAGAGATGTTTGTGAACACAGACTCTGGGACCTGCAAAAACAAAACCCATGGGTGGCAGGGAAGAGGAGTTCTCTGTAGATCTACCACCTCCAAACAAGCCACATGTTATCTTGAATTCGAATTTTCATCACTGTCATTGCCCAGAATTTCCTCTCATCTGGTTCCCTTTCTGTCCCAATCCCTTCCTTCAGGATTTCTGTTTGGTCCCCAGCCCCTCATTCCCAGGCCTGATCCTTGCAAATCCCAAGGTTGCCTACCTACACCATCCTGCCCCGCCCTCCCAGGCTGGCAATAAGTAAGGTGAGCTATTTTCAAATTGTCTCTAAGTTACTTTTGTCCTCATCCCAGGAATTTCTGCCTTTCTCCACTCACCAGCCCACATCCTAAGCCTACCATTTTCTCCAAAGGAATTGGAGAAAGGAAAGGGATAGGATAATGAGAAAGCGTGCCAGGATGAGAGAAGATGATTCTTTCTAAACTATTACTAAATCTCTGGCTGTGTGTCAAGAATCCTTGAAAGATCTGCAGGGGTTTGGGGAAAGCAAGCCTAGACCTGTTCCAGTCACTAGATTCAACCATTAATGCCCTAGGAGTTCCAGTGATTCCTTCATACCAACCTGCTGAGATTTAGGAACCTGTCCCTTCCCTTGGTCAGGAACAAGCAAAGGTCAGTAGGGCAGTAAGGTGCTGGTACTCAGAGGAGAAAGAAGCCTGCAAATTTAAGGACTTCGGTTCATGTCAGCTTCTGATCACGTGAAGATTATGTCCTCCAACTCTGGTCCCTACTCTCCCCTCCCAGCAGCAGTGCTGCAGGAGTGGACAGGTTTACCAACCTCCCACCCCCCACCACATCAGGTCCTGTCACTCATTTTTGTCTTTGTTAATTCCAGAGGTCAAAACTGGCCCCTTCTCTCTGTGGCTGGAATTTGCCTTTCTCTGATTACCAGGGAAGGGCTGCATTTTCCCACAGTCACATTAATCTTTGGCAGTTTTTGAGTAGTTGTGTTGAGAAACAGGATTACTATCCTTTTCTAGGCTAGAACAGAAAAACAGCAGTCTTTCCTCCACTCACCCTGCCTTCAGCCATGAATAGCTCTTGCAGGCCAATCCTTGGGATCAAATTGGAGGGGGCAGGGTGAGTTAAAAAATGGATTTGGATCACAGTTTTTACTTCTGTCCTGATCATTTCTTATTCTTCTCCAATTTTTTCATAAACTTGTTATGCACTTTTAATAATTGAAAATATGAAGAAGATTTGTCCATTTGGAAAAAAGATTCAAGATAGGAAGATAAAAAGACTCAGGCACCTGTTTTGGTTACTGAAGCCATTATATAAATATAGACCCTTCAGGCAGACACATTTTGGGAAGTTTCAAATGTAGAGGACAGGAGGGACCTACCCTTGGGAGGGACTTCTGGGCATGTGAAATCCTTCTAACTAGGTAGTCACTGAGGCCATAATTTCACAGAAACTTGCCCTTTTATTCTCATAACTCAAAAGCCAGTCACGAATTTTTACTAATTTGATCACTCTATCACACTCTACCTCTCTGAGTTGGTGCTATGCCCATAACCCTTGTATTCCATTAGTACTGTGCCCAAAACATTCTACTTTTTCTCAATGCCTTTATTAAGAAATAAATAATGTTCCATATCTCCCAGACTTCCCCATCCTATTTATGATTTCCTAGATCTCAATCAGCCATACTAAGGAATTAGAAGCTACTTACAACACTAAAAGAAACTGGCCACATTTAGTAACCCATCACACTAAACTTTTTGTTGCTAAGGATTTGGTTGCTCATATAATTAAATTCATAGTTGATCTGCCTTCAACCATGAATAGCCCTTGCAGGGCTTGAAACATATGCAATAAAAAGGGGAATGTGTAAAATTTTTAAAATTGATTTGTAGGAAGCACTAGTACAAAGTGCTTCAATAATGATCTAATAACACTGATTATCTCCTAAAGGTATCAGGAATTCTTCCAGGTCTTACTCTGACTCCCGTGGCACTCAGGTGTCCACCAACTCCTGGAGTTCTACAATGACATCTACTGATTTCTTTGCCTTACTTACATCTTGCCACCTTCCAACAGAATAATGATTCCAAACAACAAGAATGATCATATCCCTGTACTGTATCATTTGACTTTATCCTCCAATGGTCTTAGATATGGACATTTTTTTTAAAAGTTTATTTAGTGAGACAGAAACAGAGAGAAAGAAGGGCACTCCCAACAGGGTCTTGATTCTGTGATCCATTCCCCTCCCCAGTCTCAGCCCTCCCAGATCACAGGCACATTGTATGCCTGATATACTCAGAGGTCTCTGGACTTGAACCAGCAAACTTCCCATGTGGATCTACCTTGCAGAGTGTCATGTGCTACTGCTGTGCCACCATTGAGCTCCTATATTGGTGCATCTTAAGCTGATCCTCTAGACATTTCAGAGTACCTTTCAATTTATAAGTAAAAGTTGGTGTGGAATTACATGCAAATGTAAGCAAAATAAGATAATGAGTTACATTTGAATGGTTTCCCTAGTATGGGTTGATGGGACTTATAAGTGAGGACAGCAAGACATTTTGTATCTACCCCCCAAAAAAATTTCAACAATTGGGTCAATGCACTTTCATAAAAACTTAACAAAAGAGGGAACCAGCAGTTAGCGTAATGGCTATGTCGCTGGACTCCCATGTAGTCAACTGCGGTTCGAGTCCTGGACTTGGTGGCTTAAACTCACGCCGGGCATGTGTGCGTGCATGCCCAAGATCCAGAGATGAGAATGGAGGAGAAGGGATTGCGGCATGGTCATCCCCCCTGGGGGGTGATTTCTCACTTTCTGTCTCTCTGCCTCTCTCTGTCTGTCTGGTGAGCGCACACGCCTTATAGCAAAAACCTCTCCAAAAAAAAAAAATGGTGAAAAGCCTCTCCAAAAAAAAATGGTGAACTGATTGCAGTATGGCCATCCCCCTTGGGGGGTGATTTCTCGCTTTCTGTCTCTCTGCCTCTCTCTGTCTCTCTGGCGAGCACACGTGCTCTATGGAAAAAAAAAACCCTCCAAAAAAAAAAACTTAACAAAAGACATCCAAATCAGCCCTAATACCCAGGACAACCACCCCAGACTTGTCTTCCCCAAGTCAGTGTAAAAAGACAAATGGAGTTAGAGACAAAGGATAGGAGTCACTGATCTTGTGGAGAGTACAGTATTGTTCATTATAATAACACCAAAAATACCAATAATAGCTAACACTACTGCAATGCTTCTTACATAACAGGCACTCTTTTAAACACTTTAACATACATTAACTGAATATGAATTAATGTTCATAATTCTATTATTAAGAAACTAAGGAGTACAAAAGTTAAGGAGCTTGCCTACATTCACACAGTTAGTAGTGGATACAAAATTTTCTTTTTAGTTAATTAATCTTTTTTTATTTTTTAGGTTTTATGCTATAGAGTGTGTGCACTCACCAGAAAGAGAGAGAGAGAGAACATGAGAAATCATCCCCCTTGGGGGATGGCCTTACTGTAATCCCTGTTCCTCCATTTTCCACTTGGAATTTTGGACATGCCTGCATACATGCCCAACATGATTCCCAAGCTGCTGGATGTTGGACTCATACTGCAGTAGGCCATGTGGAAATCCAGCACCTTAACCACCACACCACCACCTGCTGGTCCCTAATCAATCATTTTTTAAAGTAGACAAATAAATTGTATATATTTGTAATGTACAACATGATGTTTTGAAATATGTGTACATTGTGGAATGACCAACTCGAGGTAATAAACATATGCATTAACTCATATACTTATTATTTTTTGTAAACACTGAAAATCTACTTTTCGAGAAAGTTTCAAGAATAAAAAACATTCTTATCAACTGTAATCACCATCTTGTGAAATAAATTTCTTGAATGTATTCCTCCTATCTAACTGAAAACTTCTGTCTTTTGACCATCTCTCCAGTATCTCCTCCCTGGCCCTGGGTAACCACTGGTGTACTCTTTGCTTCTATGAGTTCAACATTTTTAGATTCCACATGTAAGTGAAATCAGGTGAGATTTGTCTTCCTGTGTCTCACTTATTTCCCTTGACTTAATATCCTCCAAGTCCATCCATGTTGTTGCAAATACAGGCACTCCTTACCTAATGACCGAGTTCTGTTCCAATGACACCACACTAGAATAATGTAATTCTATCCATTGAAAAGGCAAGACACATCATAACATAGTAATATAAATCTGGCATAACTATTTTTATTTATTCTTATAATGAAAAATGTTTAAAGGAAACTCTAATTAGGTAACTGTAAATGAAATATGTAGTCTTATATGATTGTCAATGCTTCATGTAAGATAT